CCCTCCAAATTACTGTTCCCAGCATAAAATCCTCCCACCTTACCCAAACCCCCAAAAGCCCATCCCAGCACCTCCCTAGATCTGGCAATGGGTGTAGAATAGGGAAACCAGCGGCCATGGCTGTGGCCCTAGGCAGCTGCCTAGTTTGCCTACTGGTAGCACTAGCCCTGAGTGCATGCTTAAGTGCACAGTGTGCAGAAGTCATCAACTGTCTACAGAGTCAATAACTAAAGACCTCCAAACTTCATGTTGCCTTCACATTAGCACAACAGTGTGTTGGGTTTCCATGGCCGAGCAGCTGCATCCAAGCCTTACATCACCAAGTGCAATGCAAAGCGTCGGATGCAGTGGTGTAAAGCACGCCACCACTGGACTCTAGAGCAGTGGAGATGTGTGGCAATCTGATGGACGTGTCTGTTTACCTGGCAAACGCCAAACAGTACTTGACTAACTGCATTGTGCCAAGTGTAAAGTTTGGTGGAGGGGGGATTATGGTGTGGGGTTGTTTTTCAGGGTTGGGCTTGGCCCCTTAGATCCAGTAAAGGGAGCTCTTAAGGTGTCAGCATACCAAGATATTTTGGACAATTTCATGCTCCCAACTTTGTGAGAATATTTTGGGGATGGCCTCATCCTGTTCCAACATGACTGCGCACCAGTGCACAAAGCAAAGACATGGATGAGCGAGTTTGGGGTGGAGGAACATGATTTACCTGCAACCCGATAGAACACCTTTGGAATGAATTAGAGTGGAGACTGTGAGCCAGGCCTTCTTGTCCGAAATCAGTGCCTGACCTCATAATTGTGCTTCTGGAAGAATGGTCAAACATTCCCATAGACACTCCTAAACCTTGTGGACAGCCTTCCCAGAAGAGTTGAAGCTGTTATAGCTGCAAAGGGTGGGCCAACTCAATATTGAACCCTACGGACTAAGACTGGGATGCCATTAAAGTTCATGTGCGTGTAAAGGCAGGCTGACCAATGCTTTTGGCAATATAGTTTATATGAAAATTGACGGCGCTATATGAAAATTGACGGCGCTATATAAGTATCTGTAATGAATAAAATAAACCCCACTTCCTTCGCCAAATACCTTCAGAAACGTTCATATTCTTCCATTCTTGACACAGCAGCAAACTATACGTGGAAACTCCAGTGTCCTCTATTCCTTGGCTAACAGAAAATGTACCTCAACACAGTATTACTCCTTCCCATCAGTGACTGAGCAGTTCCTCTGCAAACACCATCCCTCCCATACCCAAACATCAATATCCCCATTTAGACTGAGCTTCTCGGTGACACAATTGTTCACTCCCAAATATAAAGTACAAAGGGATCCTGCACCTCCTCCTATGACCATTGAGGTGTTTCCACTCTCCTTGCTGGATTTTTGTTTTAGGGACAATGCAACTGAAAGTTGGACAGGGACCCTCACGACTCCCAGGTGGACCAGAACAGAGTTGTAAATGATTACACGGAGAGCTCACTGTGGACTATCCTTTAACGTACAAAAATATCCAAAGCCCCTTTTATGTCCTTTATAACCTAGCCCTGGATACTTCTCTGGTTGGTATAATAACCAATCCTTGTATAATCAACTACATTTGGAACACATTTTTTTTTAGGGAGAAGCTAGCTGTATTAAAGGAGAGGTATGGGCTCCCCCCCCCCCATTTATACTTATCTAGGTGGATGCAGCATTGCTTCGATGTCCCCCACCAGCTCTAAGTGTGAGAACATGGTGATTACATGAACGCTGACCGCTTAGTTCGGACAACCACTCTGAGCAGAGAGCGGGACTGTCAGTCATCACTGTCTGTTCTGCCCCCCCAGCGCTGGGCTTTGGAGGTGGAGGGAGCGGCTTGCTCGGGCTGAACCAAAGGCCGCTCCAGACTCTGCAGTGGATCCTGATTTTGAAGTTGGGATCTTTCTCCAGCCTGGATTGGCTGAATGACGTCAGCTGGTTTCAGCCCACTGTTTGCTGAAAACGGGTCACAGGAGTGCAGAACGAACTGTAGTCCTCTGATCCACAGGAGTACAGCCAACAGAGCTTTGCCTGTACTTCTCCTTTAAGGAGAGGTAATTTGTGGCATGAACTGATAGTTCTAAAAATCACCCAGGAGCAGTATATTCTAGGCAGATGGAATTTCAGTAGTGTCATTACTTTACAACAAAGGTGAACTACTCTGCTCAAGAAAATTAAAGGAACACTTTGAGATCTGATGTGTTTTTAAAGGGGGAAAAAATATCATGCTGGATATCTATACTGATATGGGCTGAGTAATGTTAGAAATGAAAGGATGCTCCATCGTTTGATTGATATGAAAATTATCAACCTACAGAGGACTGAATTTAAAGTGAAAAAATGATGCAGAAGGCTAGTCCATTTTGCTGAAACTTCATTTCAGCACCTCACAATAGCACTCATTAGTTTGTATGGCCCCCACATGCTTGTATTCATGCCTGACAATATCGGGGCCTGCTCCTAATGAGACGATGGATGGTGTCCTGGGGTATTTCCTCCCAGATCTGGACCAGGGCATCACTGAGCTCCTAGACAGTCTGAGGTGCAACCTGGTGGCATCAGATGGACCGAAACATGATATCCCAGAGGTGTTCTATTGGATTTAGGTCAGGTGAGCATGGGGGCCATTCAATGGTATCAATTCCATCATCTTCCAGGAACTGCCGGCATACTCTCGCCACATAAGGCCGGGCATTGTCGTGCACCAGGAGGAACACAGGACCCACTGCACCAGAGTAGGGTCTGACAATGGGTCCAAGGATTTCATCCTGATACCTAATGGCAGCCAGGGTGCCATTGTCTAGCCTATAGAGGTCTGTGCATTCCTCCATGGATATGCCTCCCCAGATCATCACAGACCCACCACCAAAATGGTCATGCTGAACAATGCTTCTCCAGACCCTTTCACATCTGTCACATGCTCAAGGTGAACCTGCTCTCATCTGTGAAAAAGCACAGGACGCCAGTGGTGGAACTACCAATTCTGGTGTTCAATGGCAAAAGCCAATAGAGCTCTATGGTGCCGGGCAGTGGGCACAAGGCCCACTGAAGGATATCGAGCCCACAGACCACCCTCATGAAGTCTGTTTGTTTGGTCAGACATTCACGCCAGTGGCCTGCTGGAGGTCAGGTTTTGTAGGGCTCTGGCAGCGCTCCTCCTGTTCCTTCTTGCACAAAGGAGCAGATACTGGTCCTGCTGATGGGTTAAGGACCTTCTACAGCCCTGTCCAGCTCTCCTAGAGTAACTGCCTGTCTCCTGGAATCTTTTCCATGCTCTTGAGCCTGTGCTGGGAGATACAGCAAACTTTCTGGCAATGGCACGTATTGATAGACCAGAGGGCTCCAAACTTTTTGGTACTTAGGCCAATATGTTATTTAAAAAAATTTTGAAAGCCAAAAAAAAAAGTTTTAATAATGATTCCCCATTTACATCACCACCACCCTTACATCAGTGTCCCTCTTTAATTCAGGGTCCTCATTAGTGTACCTCTAACATCTATAGCCTTTACTGACCTGAATCCTCAGTCTGTGCACATTGAGGCTATGCCACTCACCCCAACAACAGGCAGCATAAAATCTTGTAGTGGGCCAGACATGGCCATAGTTAGGAGTCCCCTGCTCTAGACTCATCCATGACTAGAAACCCAGAGTAGCCAATGTGGCTTTTGTAAAGTAGGCAAACCCTCTAAGGTGTTTCCTTTTTATACAAATAGAATTAACAGTATATCTTCATCAGGAGAAAAAAATACATATGTAAAATTTTTCTATTTTTTTAATAAATATATTGTTTTTATATAAAAATAAATCATGTACATTATTATTTACAATATATACACACATTGTGCAGTTTATTTTTCTGATCACATCCCTTCTATACTGAGAATATTAGTAATCAAAATTCTCATCTGAATATTTTCAGCAATATGTTTATGTATTTGCCAGTTCTGGTGTCAGGCTGTTTCACCCATACAGGTTCAAAGGAATCAATATCTTGTTTTCTCCAGTATTTAGCTCAATGTACATTATAACCTCAGAGAAATCATTCAGGTCACAGGTCTTCAACCTCAAAAGTTCATTGTGGTTTTCTGGACTTTCCTCCACATCCTGGCTCTTCTCACGTGATGGTCCGGGGACAGCACAAGCACCTTATCAGGCTCTAGAACTCTACAGTGGATCGGTCGCATCCTTTGAGGTCTAGTGAAAGGATTCACTGGTCCTAGTGCTGTATTCCCTTGTACAAGACAAGATTTGCCCTGGTACAACTCTAAAGTCCTCTTATGCTGCGCCATTCTAATTCAGCCCTTGGCACATCAACTTGCAGTCATCATACATATACTGGAAAAGAAAAAAAAAAATAATTAGATTATATGAAAGAATTAAAAAAAAAAGTCATAATCAATGCGTGTCAAAATGCCTACAATGGCGTAAGGCCATCGCTATGTGTGATGGATCCCTATAGCAAAACAGGATTCCAACTCAAGTGCAATTTAACTAGTGACAATTGATACTAGTGCTATAGTTCCCAAACAATATATACATTTGTTAAATCGAAATATATTTCAAAAATGCTATTAGTACCTGCGTAAACCACTGTCTAGCCTGACCGTTTTGGGTTCCCTGGGCTTGTGAGCCCTCAGTGTCCACTGATGAAGTTTCTATCTTCAGGCCTTTGCCATTTGTTAAACAGATTGCACCACTATACTAAATGTGCTGTGATTAGTATTCTTCTAAGCCAGGGGTCTCCAAACTATGGCCCTCTAGGTGTTAAAGCACTGCAAGTCCCATCATGCCTCTGCCTCTGAGAGTCTTTCCTGTGGCTGTCAAATTCTTGCAAGGCCTCATGGGACTTGCAGTTCCTCAACGCCTGGAGGGCCATAGTTTGGAGACCCCTGTCCTAAGCCAAAGCAAACCCACAAAATGCCCCAAGTCATCATGGCAAATGGTCACAGTGCAGTACAGGAAGTATCTAGAAAATAAATCAGATTCCAATAATCACCTCATCATCTGAATGCTCTGATTCGGAGTCAGAACTGTCCTCATCCTCGCTCTCCGGCAGGTATTGCAAGTTCTTTTCTGTTACAGTCAGTAGGTGTTGCTGGATTTGACTGTTAGTCCTTCCCCAGGTAAGTTGGCATGGTGAGTAGCCTTGGTATGTAACTCTGTTCACATCGGCTCCATGTTTGAGCAACAAAAACATCAAGTCTGGATTCTGTTTATCCACAGCCATGTGGAGAGCTGTGCGCCCATTGCAAGGCTCCTGTAATGACAAAATAAAATCCAATGCTTAATTAAAAAGCCAAATCAACCCCTACAGGTCATTGTGACATTACTTCTCCAGACAACAGGTAAGTTGTCAAACTGATAAAAACCTACCTGAGCATTAATATCTGCTCCCAGACTGATCAAGTGTTCCACGATGGCAAGAAAACCGTTATTGGATGCTAGGTGTAGACATGTATGACCTGTGGAAACAGCAAGCAAAGAGAAATCTTTAGATATCCATATAAAACAACAATAATAACAACAACAACAACAAATAATATTTAATTATTATTGTATAGAATTATGTATTTTGCAGGCTAAATATATTGACATTACTGAAATTTGATACATACCATCATAATTGGAGCACTGAAGAAGGGAGGTCAGCTGGAATCTACTGTATTGCACTATGACGCCAAATCCACGTAGGGATCCCCGCTCACAGGCAATGTGTAAGGCGGTATTTCCGCGGTAATCTCGGACTTCCGGGTCACATCCAGCCTGGAGGAGCTTCTCAGCTATTTCAGCTTGTTCTGTGATTGTAGCCACATGAAGTGGTGTCTGCAAACAAAACAACAACATTAATGACAATATTCCAAAAATATTATGTGCCAAATCAAAAAAAGGGGACATGGAGCTTGGCCTAGCTCAACTGTAATATGGAGGCCACCTATGCCAACCTTCCCCATCACTGGTCCAGCGGCTTCCACACTTGTCAAGTCCCTGTACCATCATGCAGGTTAGGAGTTCTGGCTTTCTAGACTTCAAATTGGCCCCACATCAACAACTCAGAAAGAACTAAAGCCAGGGACAGCCAGGTTATTAGTATTTTGTGATGGTCAGCAATAGTGGCCTTCATATAAAACTTTGCTTTTCAAGCATTACTAGTTTTTGATATTTCAGATAGAAGTCCCATACATATTAGAAATAATAAAAAAAACGATTATAGGTGCTGCCAAACAGCAACCAATCACATCCCTGCTATCATTTTTCAAGCAGAGCAGGAAAATGACAGCTGCAATCTGGTTGGCTGCAATGGCAACATTCTCTTTTTTTTTTTTTTTTTTTTTAAAAAAAAAAAAAGGAAAAGAGGGGAAGAGGACACATTCTTTAAGACCAGAATCACATCTCTAGTCGGAATGGAATTCAGCTGTATTTACCTGGTGAAGGTTATTCTGGCGGTTCAGGTAATATCCATCCCTGTAGGATCTCTTGATTGCTTCTGCTGCAACATCTTTAGCTCCATGGATAATGGCCAAAGTGGAGAAGCCTGCAATATAAAGAGAAAGAAAAGGTTAAACGTCATGTGGATGATCACACCAACATTCTATAGTAGACCATCTAACTGGAACATCCGTAAGATACATTGTAACAATACAAAAAGGTTAACTCAAAACTGACTTTTTTTTTTTTCTTCCTTTTAAAAATGTTTTTCAAAGTAAAGCTAATAAAGGAAATGTTGGGTCACCCATTTCCTCACCTCCATTTAGCAATGTCTATGTAGTCATTTCAGTGTCAGCTTGAAGTTATTTCCCCTCCCCCAGCGCAGTCCAGGATTGTGTAAGCTGGGGTTTTTCTTGTGTGTGTCTCTAGATATGCCTGTTGTTTTCCGCTTTCTCATGTATGCAGTTGTGTCCCTGGCCATCTGCCAGGGACTTTCCGAATAGCTGAGCTCTGCCCTGACTGGCTGCCCCACCTCTGACAGCCAGCCAATCGCAGGAAGGCACACCAAGAGCCTACCCCTCCCCCACTTCAGCTTACAAAGAGAGGAAGGGAAAACCCAGACAAATATGGCGTCAGCACAAAAAAGAAAAAAAAAAAAACCCCTCAAACTGCAATTTCTAAATAAAACACCTTTTTTGTTTTGTGATACCCACCACCGATGCAGCATTGACCCCCGCATAATCTCAGCTTAAGTAACAAATATAAATTTTTATTTATATAATTTTTACATTTTGTGTAATTATATATATATATATATATATATATATATATATATATATACACACACACACACAAAATGTATTTTCCTCCCTATGGCAGATTGAGAACTAGATGCTACATGATTTATATAAGAAATGCAGAATGTTCTAAGACTCTCTATACATCAGGATCCATCAACATTTTGTTGCAGCAGATGCCATAAAGGAGTGCACAGTGTGAGATCACAAGCACATCCTAGAATGTCACCATAGACAGCTAATGTCCTGCAAGGTGTCACAAGGCCAGTCCATGGGGCATCCTCCTCATCTACAAGGAGATTAGAGCAAAATATTCGGAGATTGCATTAAAATCCCCTCTGTGCTGGAAGTCTGCAGATCCGATCTGCCTCTCTGCTGCACCACCTACAGATCTGATCGAAATCTGCACTCAATCCTCTCTATTCTGCAGAATGTAAAGTTGGCTCGATATAGACCCCTGTACAGATCTGATCGAACCACCTACAGAGCTGATCGAAGATTCTACAGATCTGATCGAACTCTGCAATCCTCTCTATTCTGCAGAATGTAAAGTTTGGCTAGATATAGACCCCTGTACAGATCTGATCGAACCACCTACAGATCTGATCGAACCACCTACAGATCTGATCGAACTCTGCACTCAATCCCCTCTATTCTGCAGAATGTAAAGTTGGCTCGATATTGGTCCCTGTACAGCTCAGATCGGTCACTTGACACACACACACACACTACAGAGGGACTTACGTGTCTCCATCTTCGTTGGCCTGACCCTTCCATGGCTCGATGTCGTAGTCCAGCGGCTCGGCCGATGGCGGAATACACATGTTCTGGACGCCATTGACGATCCTGTTATAATCTTCCTCTTTTAGGGAGTCCAGGCCGCTGTCGGTGCGATCCTCGGTGTTCTGGAACTGCTTGTCCTTGGCGGCCATCCTCAGCTCTCCGTCCATATTGTCAGAGTAATCCACAAAGCGAGCAGACATGGTGATCCTTCAACAAAAATTCAAGGAAAAAATCCCAAAAAATACAAATGTGTCAAAGTCCAGGGAGAGCGGTGCGGCAGGGCGAGCGATCCGCGGTGCAGAGAGCAGTGCAGAGGTGATCGGGCTGCGAGGCAGAGACAAGTGAGTGCAGCTCTGGGTGAGCCGTCCGCTTTTCTCATAGAAGGCAGCGGGGAATTTTGGTGGGCGGGGCGTGTGGTCCTGCACTCATCTGTGTACCGCGCACTGTGTGCTCAGCCTGGGAAATTCCAGACACTCAGCACACGGAGGACAAACCAGAGCCAGCCTGTTCTCAGGAAAACTTCCAGCACTCAGCTCGGCAGAAATTCCCTTCTCTGCGGAATGTTCAACATTTCTCAAACCTCATGTCTGCTGCTGCACTCCCCTCCCTATAGTTATATGTATACACAGAATATACACCCCATATATATATCTTTATATACATTTACATACAAATATATTTAGATACATAAAATAGATTGACTTTTATTTACTTCCTCCGTAACCAATACCTGTAGGATCCATTCAGCTCCATGCATGTTATTCTGCAGCACAGGCTCCTTGCCCACTGGGCCACCCAACTGCAGTGCGTCCCCCCTGACGCCTTACACCCCGGTCACATTGCATGCAACTCGGCGTGTGATTTGCAAATCTATTGTCCGCAGGTCATATCAATGAGGTTCTGACTTGGAGCCGCACCGATTTCTAAAGTAGTGCATGCACTGCTTTTGGTGCGATTTACATAGACATCTGTGCTGTTTTGCGTTTTTGCACCTGTGTGACGCCTTTTTGATGTGTTACTGCGGGGGGGGGGGGGGGGGGGGGGGTTCATTTTTAACATTTTTCTTGTTGCTAGGCAGATTTAAAATGCATAACACATCAAAAACAATATATTATTATTATACAGTATTTATATGGCGCCAAAAGGTTTGCTCAGCGCTGTACATTATAGTGGGGGGACAGTACATGAGACAATACAGTAACAAAACAATCCACGAGGGGTTCGAGGGCCCTGCTCTTTGAAGCTCACAATCTAGGAGCTATATGCTTTTCTGCAGCGTATGCTTTTCTGCAGCGTTTCCATTCTGTAGAACCAAAAACGCAACTTTTTGTGTTAAAAAAAACACACCGGGTGAAAACGCGGAGATGTGAACATGTCCCATAGGAAATCATGTTAAATGGGCTGTAATGCGTTTCTGCAAAATGCTAAACGCTGCAGAAAATGCTTATGTGTGAACCTAGGGTAAAGAACAGCAGCACGGTGGCTAAATGGTTAGCATTTCCACCTGGCAGCACTAGGGTCATTGGTTCAAATCCCAACCACGGCACCACCTGCCTGGAGTTTGCATGTTCTCCCTGTGTTTGAGCGGGTTTCCTCCCACACTCCAAAGACATGCTGGTAGGTGAATTGGCTCCTGTCTTACATGGCCCTAGTATGTGTATGTATGAATGTGAGTTTAGGGACCTTAGATTGTACACCCCTTGAAGGTTAGGGACTGATGTGAGTGTACAATATATATGTAAACTGACAGCACTATATAAGTACCTGAAATAAAAATAAAGAACAGCACATATGCTTGCAGGTCAGGAGCACATGTGATTTGCATGCATTTCTTTTTTTTTTAATTTAAATATTTTATTGTTTTCAAATCACCATATTAAATGTACAAAAGCTAATAAAACAGACAGTATACATTACACATTTCTGTCATAACACTCCCCAGGAATAACCCTAATCTCCATGACCTTTTACCCCTCCCATTACCTATCCCCTCCCCTTACCTATCCCCCCCCCCTTTGATTATGCATTTTTACCTTCATTCTGACCTGCAGTAATGTGAACCTAGCCTTAGATGTATTTTTCATGCATTCCTTCACATTTTTTGCTGTGATTGGGGTTTTTCCACACTTGTTAAAAATGGGTCACCAATAGGACATATAGAAAACTGTTTTCCATCCAAACCACAGCGTTGGTGTGACATGTGGTGCCGCACTGGATGGCGCTGTGTGTTGCCACACAACAAACATGGCTCTGCGTCCGTGACGTGAATGAAGTGTCACTATGGGGTTGGTCTACAAAAACTGGAGAGTGCAAAATCTGGTACAGCTGTGCATAGAAATCAATCAGCTTCAATTAACCGTTTTGTCAAAGCTTAACAGCCCGGTGCGATTTGCATTCCATATGACTTGCAAATCGCACGCCAAGTCGCATCCTATTGTCCACAATGACAGCGGGCAAATCGGTGCGGTTCTGAATTGGTCGGAGCCGTACTGATTTCTTAAGTAATAAATGCAGTACTTGCATAGACATCTGTGTCAGATGCAGGGGCGGACTGACCATTTGGAAACTCTGGCACTGCCTGAGGGCCCGGGGTCAGTAGGGGGCCCCATGAGATGCCCCTGGTACCTTTTTCATAGGTTTTTTTTGAGTTTGGGCAAGGACACAGGGACCCCATGAACCCCTATTGCCTGGGGGCCCCATGAGTTGTCAGTCCGCCCCTGGTCAGATGTCTTGCAAATCGCACCTGAAATCAGCATCTCACCCAACTTTGAAATCATGTGACTTCACTGTAAGTCACACAATTTCAAAGTCGGGCTTGATGGGGGGGGGGGGGGGGTA